GAGCTTTTGAAATTAACATTTTTACAATAGAGAGCTCATGGAGCGATTTTCATATTTGATTGTAATTCAAAAACGAATAACTGCAGATACTTGAAATTTATACCATATGACTTTATCAATTCATCTACTTGATAAAATTCTCAAAGTATTTTGAATTATCTTGAGCTGTTTACGGACATTTTCAATTTTTTTTAGTTTTTTTCCTATAATTGTCAATAAAATTGAATTTTTTGGGTAAAAAAACTTGACAATTTAATACAAAGATTCTGCTATATATTTACAATATCTGTTGAAAATATTAAAAATACATATTCACGATTTTCTTTTAGAAGCATTTTAAGTTCAAATTTCGACAAAATTCATATCATTAAAAATGTACAAATTATTTTTTAGTTAATTTTCAACTTTTATAGCTAAGAGTTGAACATTTAAGACAAAGTTCAGAGTAAGTATCTAGGTTATTCTGTAACCAAAAAATCTAAAAATATATAACCACAGTTTTTTTTGTTCAAATGTGGACGAAATTACATATTAAATAACCAAGAATAATGATTTATGTTATTTTGTTGTAAATTAAAAATATTATTCGTGAGTACTTGAAACTTTTTAAGTATATTATTACTTCGAAAATTTTGGTTACATGTATAGTTATATAAGTACCGAAAGTAGCTGATGAAGATACCCATATAAAATGTAAATGTTTTAAAATTTAACTGTTGAACTATTGAATTCCGTTAAAAATGTAATATTTATAAATGAATTAAGTGGTGTATTCGTCAGCGGCTGGTGGACTTGAATTAATACAAGACTGCACCCAGTATAATATAATATATAGTTGTAATGTATAGCGGAAATTCTTTGCGCCGCCGCTCGCCGAGGTCTCTGCGGTACGCAGGCCATGACGTTGCAGGTTAATATATTTAGAGGTATTGTTTGTACATAACCCACTACAACGGCTACAACTGTCTTAGACAATAAACTATAAAATTACATACGTATTCTCATTTTTATTATAAATGTACGTACATGAACAATTTGGATAGAGAGAAATTGGAAGAAACGGCGGTGCAGATATGTAGGTACTACAGAAAAGTGTGTTTGCCACTGACGATTTATGAGTTCGACATGCTGCTGCATTGATTTAAAATGATGCAAATGTAGTATTTTTTCGGAGGGTGATCACCAAAAAACAAAAATTTCTACTTTTGAATTACGTATAATAATAACTGTAAATTATCATCACACACTCATACCATGCGAAGTTCGAGATGCGAGCTTATATATTAATTTTAGTTTAAAAAAAAATAAAAAATGAGTGGGAACTAGTAACTGTTTATCACAATACGTCAGTCCTGCCATCCCGAGATTAAAATGTAGTTTAACTATTCAAATGCCTATTTAAAGTTATTTTTATTTTTAAGAACAATCCATTATTTTTTGTATTTATAGATTTTTAAATGAGCTATTTATAAGTGTACCTCCCGCATCGCATAGATATTAGGTATAGTTTTTATTATTACAGTTATCTTAGCATAGACCGAAAACTCAAAAGAGGCGCATCTCCCTCATACGATCATGATGGAATCGTGGATGCTCTGCATATTAACATTTTTAATGAAGCTTTTTTTGGGGGGGGGGGGCTTAAACCTATAGTATGCTCAATGAGCTTTAGCCCCCCCCCACAAATATATACCCTTAAAAGTTAAAAACAATATATACTATGCACCTCATAGATAAGTATATAAATTATGATGTAGGTACCTATTTGATTTCTAAAAACAGCAACAATATATATACATTATACACATTTACTAGCTGTAGATACATATGGACACTTACCTGCAGTTGCTATTGTTCCTTAGTTAGATTCACTGGCGGTACATCCGAAGTTATCGCCATGGTTCTCGGATTCGGTAGCTTGATGAGGTGGCCGCGATATAGGATGTACACCTACTTCAAATAGTTTGAAAAATATTTGTTCTTTAAATTGAATTCATTTAACAGCTGTACGAAGCAAATAAAAATATGAACATGAGATAATGATAAATAGTTATTGTTATAAATTAATTAATATAGGTACCTACCTAATTGGTCCGTTTTTACATAATATATAAACCATAGTGTATATCAATCAGCTTCTTTCTTTTTAAATATGGTCTCAAAAAATAAGCTACTATACTAGTAAGTGGGTCGCAAGTCCTATAAGGTTGAAGACAAATATTCAGCTGTAACTGGTGCTCACCCCGCCGCGTGATAGCTTCTGGTAGGTCAACGCCGGGCGCCGGCCAACGATCGTAGAATCGAGTGTTGCAATTTGCAATATTATTGTGCGACGCACACTCGTATACCTACTTACATTGTTACGCCTGAAATATTTTTTATTATTATTTTTAATCTCCCACTCAGTGTTTAATCGATATCGTCAAAAATATTCACATGTGGAAGTTTTTGGATCCAATATCTAGCAGTTGATAAAGATAGGCATGATTTTTTTATAAGTGGGTATTTAGAGTTCAATGTTTGAAAAAATGTATATTGACACAGTTATATTTTACAGACACTTTAAGATCAACTTTGGACGAATTGCGTATTAAGAGTAAGAGTAAGACAAAGAATAACGATTGTCGTTATTTTGTTGTAATTTAAAAATATTATTCGTAGGCACTTAAGTCTTTTACAGTAGGGAGTAGGGACATTATATTATATTGTATACAGTATACACTATACACACACAAAGGCGGTTCCAAGAGGGTACTGGGTGGGGGGGATGTTCGCCTCCTGTTCACAAAAAAAACATATAGGTAACATCATTTTTCATAAATTATTGAAAAACGGCATCGTAAAAATGTTTTAAATTACAGAGATTCTGGATCGACCTTTGTACGCACATAATGACCTACCTACTACAATACTAATGCTTGATAGCAAAATAAATTATTTTGATCGCAATAATATCATACAATTTACTCAGTAATATTACAGACAGGCCCTCTTCAGTCTTCATATACAATGATTATTAAATTCAAATCTAACACATCCAAAACAATGACTAGTGATCTCATGTACAGCATAGCGTTTCCCACATACCCTTTTTTTTCTAAATGAAATTTTTAATATGTAAAATAATATAAATTCAAATTCAAACAAGTAGTTTCCGAGTTATCAGACAATCTGTACTAATGATAATAATTAGTAATCTAAGATAATAAGTTTAGAAGATATTTAAAATTTAAGTACCTAATTAATCCATTAACATTTTATGATATAATTTGTAAAAATTGTTTTAGTGACTGAGTAGTGAGTATAATAAGTAGGTGATAGCTATTAGACTAACATATTTATATTTTTTTCATATTTTATGCAAATGAAAAATAGGTTGAATACTTATAATACTTAAGTATGTATACTAATCTGTCAAAAATTGAAATCATGATTTTTCATTGTAAATTCCAATAGGTATTATTTTTACTGGCAATATAAATATATTTTAGATAAAACTTTTTACAGCAATATTATTGGACAAAATGTAATAACAAATATTAAAATATATATTATACCTAGCTTATTTATGAGTTATGGAAAAAAAAATATGAATAATTAACTAGCTGAGGAACAAGTCATTAAAAAAATAAAAATTGATAATAATAATATCAAATTTTTATTATTTGTATTGTTGTTTACAATTTAACATTTACAGTTACATACAGTATTATAACAATAAAAAACACAACATCCCTCATAAGCTATGGCTGTGATAATAATCAATGACGGAAACAATTTACTTTATGATTATAATAATATAATCGTTAATATAATAAATTGAATTATTATTTATTTATGACACAATTGTCATGCATATAATAAATTTGTATTAAAAATGTTGATAGTTCAAACTTTACACTAAACAGGTAATCTCAAAACGCATCATTTTTTTAATACATTAATATTTTATATAGTTTACTACCATGCAAGTATTATTAGTTCAGTCAATTTAGCCTACAAAATTTAAAATAGAAGTTTTAATTTTAAAATGATTTGCAAGTAATAATGTCACCATGTTTACAAATTAGTAATTACAAATATTAAAATAAAAACAATTCCATAAAAAATACAAAAATATCAATTAGGTTGGTACTTATTATTGATACTTTATCTATTTCCAATAATAAAATAGAATGATTCATGGTCAATACTTGATACTTGACTATCAAAATATAGGTTTTCGTTAATTAAAAGTAAGGCTTTTGTAAATATTTTAATAACAAATTAGGACTTGGAAGTTGATGTTTTAATTAAATAGAATTCAACATATTTGTGTTAAGTTAATACAATATTACATGTCATGTGTCACTGGAAAGATATTAATACTGACTGGAACAGATTAATACAACTTTAATTAATCCAAAATAGGTGAAAGTACTAAAGATAAAATTTTTAAACTTTTGTGTAATGAAGAAATGATATAATAATAATATACGCACACAAGAAAAATTGGAAATATTTAAAATGACAAAAGCTGTACAACTTATTTTAATGACATAGTTTTAGTATTTTGGCTTTTTTATGCATACATATAATTAATAGAAGTAAAATATAAATATGTAACAGTTAAAATTGATAGTGTTCAAAATAAACAAAATATCAGAAAAAATATGATCTAATTACTAAATTCATTTGTGGTATGGTTGATTTATTGGAAAATATTGATTGTAGACTGGTCAACAACATTGTAAATAGCCATAACATAAACTGAAAAATAAAAATTATATTATATTATCATAACAAAAACTGAATCAATGCACAGTACAATTTCAAAAGCACCCTATGAACCTTACAAAAGCATTAAAACTGATTAAGTGAAATCTAAGACATTGTTTTGGTGCTTGATGATTTCAAACAGAATTGTGTAACACTGTGGAGTTATAAATAACTTCAACTTAAAAGTTTAGTTTTATAAATTGTACTACATGTCTGTGTTTATAAAAACGGTATGTATCATACATTTTAAGATATCTTATTAGATAAATATGATGATTATATATATATTATAAGTAAGTTAAATTAAAAAAAATTATTGATACAATGATACTTACAAAATATTTAAATCATAATTATTTTAGTGGTGATCGAGATCTTGATCTATCTTTTTTGGATTGGGCAGCTAAGTCATCCCATTCAGATAAATCATATTTTGAAAGATCTCCATCTTCATCATCATCATCATCGTCGTCTTCTTCGTCATCGTCATCATTTTCAACAACAGCTTTTGACCACGTTTTATTTCTTCCTCTATCGTTATCTTCTTCTCTACCATTTTGACTGTTAGAATCCTCACTTATAGAACCACTTCCTCGTTTTTGTTTCTTTTTCTTACGTCCAAATTCATCATACTCGTCATCAGACTCTTCACGCCTGACATACTCAACAACTCCCCTGTCATTGTAGCCTCCTCCATAACCAGTACGTTCCTCTGGGTCGGCAAATTTAGGTGCATTGCACATATTACATTGAGATCGACGTGCCCAATTCACATTGCCACACTTGCTACATTGCCAGTCATCAGCCGAGAACAGTCCTTTACTCTTTTCAGCAGCTGCCTTTCCGATTTCAGCACCAGCTTTTTTCTTGACCGGTAAGTCTTCACGTTCCTTATTACATCGGTTACAATGGGTACGACGAGCAAAGTTTATGTTGGCACATTGAGCATTTGGACATATCCAGTCACCTTCGCTCATGCGAAAAGCTTTGCCTGCTGCATCTACTGGAACGTCCAATGGCAAAACATCCTCCGCCTTCGAGGACATGTCGCTAGACATTTGAAAAAATCTGTCTTTACCAAATGTCACAAATCAACAGTTACCAATAAATATTAGCTGCTGCTGCTGCACATCATAGTAATTGTGTAAGCTTGAAAGTCACCGAAATTATTTCTTGAGCATATTATTGTTATCATCGAAAGAAGCTGGATCTTGAGTTAGAATTTACCCAGTAGAGTAAATATTATAAATACGCATACAGACGGTACATAAACGACAAGTGCTCGCGTACGAGTACAATAATTGTGATTAAATTTAAATTACGTACATTAATAATACATACAAAGGACGATTTTTAATCGATGAAACGACTACGATTTTGACGTACTATTATGTTTGATTATCTCGAACAGTAACATTACGTTACACTCGTCCTTAACTCTTAAAAGTTAAAACCTAGAGTATCATAGACCATAGTTTTATTGAAAATGATTATTTAATAATTAGGTAAAATAAATACGCGGCGGCATTCGGTAGACGGTAGTGTACCAATAACCAATTGGCAATTACCAAACTACCAAAGTTTTGGTTACAGTGATGAGTGGGAGAGGGTGGGTATTGCGATAACCGCTGACAGTGCGACCACATGACGAGGGATTTGATAACAAAATGTTGTTTTATTCAAAATTATTTTACAAGCCCTACTACTAGGGGACATGCATGATTTTAAGATATTTTACTTACGAGAGTACTGAGTAGAGACTAGAGAGCCTAGATGGCTGGATAATATTATTTTAAGATTTAAGCCTTAAGGGCTTAAGGCTCTCTCTACGTACTTCCTTCTGCTACCCTAGTGGCTAGTTCAAATTCAAATGACGTAGTTAACATGTTTCCAGTGTTTCCACCTTCCACGCCGAATCAACGAGAGCCGATTGCCGAAATGTCCGAAATTCGGATTTCGAGTTTTCGGCGTTTAATTGGAATTTGATCGTTGAAAACAAAATGGCAGCAACTCACGTAGTATAGAAAAATGTTCCTATACAGAGTGATTGTTATACAGGACGTTTCGTCCCAGTCAAGAAAACCAGTCCACGGATGTCTCGGCCCCGGCAATCATGAAGATTGGACGTTTCGTCCCGGGCAAGGTGGATATATATATCCATAAGGTAGATTTATATCCACCTTGGTCTCGGGGAGTTATTACTTATTAGCTATAGAACATTTGGTCTCCGGGCTCCGGCAATCGGCATATTTTAATTGTAGAACATTCTGTTCTCTGGTTTTTAAATTATTATTATTTATTAATATCTCAATAGTTCATTATTTAGCGGCTAAAAATTAATACGTTTATTTTCAATGAACAATTTAAATAAAGATTACCTATTCACACTAATATATTATTTAAAAAACATACGTCAGTAAGATAAAAATAAATATTATTTATTTATTTATAATTCGTAAATATTGAGCTTCAATTTATTCATTTCTATGACTTTTGTTTTGACTTATTATGATTGTGATTCATTTAAATCTTTTTTATTTGTAACTATGTTGTATGATTTTATATTTGTTTTTGGAGTATTGTAAATTAAACATTACATTTTTCACTAAAAATTAATGTATTTAGATTTAGACATTAGATCATTTTTTAAATATTTTTTTTTAAAATTAATTTAACTTCCTTGGACTAGCTTTTTGACGGAGACGAACTACTATATTTAGGAGTAGCCTAAAGCGATATAAACTTCTTTTTTTAATACGAACCTACCCATATTTTTTACTGATAATAAATTAATAACTACATATTAGGTATCTTCAAATATCAATTGATTTATGTCTTTCACCTAGTAACGTATAATGTATTATGTATAAGTATATACGTTATACAGTATGATTCTTTTTATAAGAATATGTAAGAATTATACAAGAACATGTTACAGTATGAACTACCTACCTACGTATTATTATATTAGGTAGGTACCTAGTTATATTATACTATAAACGTTGTTATGAATTTTTTTCCCCTGACGCTCTTAAAAATTACCGATCATTAATATTAATCCACCCGAAAAGTTACTAAAGTTGAAAAAAGATTTTAATAAAAACAAAAATAAAAAAATAACCATTAATAATAATATTGATAAGACTTTATATGACTGAATTTTATAAAATAAAATTTGCTTTTTTTTGTATTATTTTTTCCTTGGATTTTTTCACTACATTCAATAATATTGACATAATATGTTAATTTATTATCGTAGTAGTGCAGTTCGCGCAATCGTACAGCAATGTAGATAGCTATGCAGATACAAGTCCCAACAAATACTATACCTATTTTTAGTTTTTTCAATCGGATTACCTCCCTATTACAAAAATAAATTTAATAATGTAAAATTATTTTACAAATGTCTTATGCCTATGATTTTGAATTGTTAAGAAATGGTAATTGAAATACATTTAATTCCGACTAATTTATTGTTCATTGTTTATTATTTTTAAGTTACTCTAATTTAAGCAGCAAAAATCTGGGTCTATAGGCCACCCAAATAGGAATAAACCCAATAGGTTTATTAGTCTACTCTTTAGTGCACAAAAATGAATAGGTATCTCAAAAAATACTAGTTCGAATGTAGGTATATTGAATAAATCAATGTAAAATAATAAAAATTGAAAATATTTAAAAAACTCAGCTTTTCAACATAATGTAACAACTATTTGCAAGGGAAAATAGTGATTCTCATTATAAAAAAAGACGTTGGTATCCGCCACAAGTCAGAAGACCCTTTAATGGTATTTGGAAATGTGGCCTTAAGAGGACGCTACACCCGCATGTGTTGTCTCCGTCTTACAAATGTAGAACATAGCAAAACAATGTTTTGCACGGGAAAGAACCGAGAAAGCTACAGTCATAATTAAGAAACGAAATTTTCACCACATAAAAAGGAGAACTTTGGCTGTGCAATATCGTTTTTATTTTTTCGATATCACTTATATGAAAAAAGTTATTATTGTTTCAAAATACATTTGTTTTTGTATTTTTCAAACTTGAATAACTTTTTTTGTACTTCCGATATCGAAAATATAAAAACGATATTGCACAGCCAACGTTCTCCTTTTTATGTGGTGAAAATTTCGTTTCTTAATTATGACTGTAGCTTTCTCGGTTCTTTCCCGCGCAAAATATGTTTTTGCTATGTTCTACGTTTGTAAGACGGAGACAACACATGCGGGTGTAGCGTCCTCTTAAGGCATAATTTTTTTAAAGTTACATAAATCAGAATAATTCTGATAAATGATAATAAACAATTATTGAATAATTCAAATTATTTGAAAAATGAATATTGTTAAAGGAGAAAATAGGGAGGGGGAGCATTGTTGGCGAACCACCCTGTGTGGCTGTGTAGGACGGTATAGGGAGTATCTAGCATAATATTCAAGCCCGTGGTTGCTAGCGGCCGTCGCTGTTATCAGCGCCGTTACAACTTCCTACCATGAATTAGGGTTACTGGTTAGCGCAAACCTGCAAAATATTATATTGTACAATTTATTAATGTGCAATAATGCATGTGGTGCACTCGGTGGCCATCGACGGCAACAGCAGCAACAACAACAATAAGTACTAACAGTCAACAACAACTCCGCCGTGATCACGAACCGATCTTGACGCCAAAAACTGAAAAACAGAGACGCAAATGGCGGGGTTGTTGAATAACATCCGCCTCAGGGTAACTAGATCGTGGTTGGGATAATATATCAAATCATATGCGCGACCCGTTTTTTTATTCTTCTGAAATCCCCGTACGATGAGCATTTACAAAAAGGTCGACTTTTACGAGCTGTGCCGGCTCTGCATGTGCGTAGGCGGCAAGAAACACCATTTATTCAAGAGTCAGGAGAGCAGCGATCGGCAGCTACAGCTCAAACTGAAAAAGTGTATACCTTTGCAGGTGAGTGGACATAAACATTAATTAATAATTTATTTTGTTTACCTTCGAGTACTTTCCCGATGAAGTCGAATCCAACATGATGCCTATCACCTGTAAATTTTCGTACTTATTAGATTTTAATACAAGCTTGGTGGCTGTCATAATATCAGAATAATAATATATTCTCATTTGAAAATATCACGTTATGATGACAGTACCTAGTTGTCATTTTTAAATAACATGTCTTATAATGTAATAGCTTGGTAATAATTTATTGAGATCACCTTCAGAATAAAACCTATGTTTTTTTAATGAATTTTTAGATCAAAGAAAGTGATACTTTACCAAAAGGAGTATGCGAAAACTGTATAGCAAAAATGGAAGAATTGTACGATTTTATAGACCAATGTGTAAATACTGAATCTATGTTAAAAAGTTACTGTGCAACTTTAAGTATTTCTGATCAAGCAAAATGCCAAGGAAAAGTAAGATATTTTTATCAATGTTTTTAAAATATGATAAGTATAATAATTAATTACTAGGGACATGCTTTAAATAAGTGCTAGACAGTACTGCAATAGGCCTAAATTAATATTCATTACTTTATGCAGCAAACTTGAATCATGAAAGATAATATATAATAATATGATGAAAAAAATGTTAATTTAAATTTGTTTCTGAAAGTTTCTGCTTAGCAGTTTACTATATAATTTAACTCAAATATTAGTAATTTAAATCCCTACTCACCATTGTTTTGATTTAAAAACTATTTTTTTCAGGTTTATGTACGAGAATCTTTAGAAAATAATTCTGTAAGTACAAAGAAAAACAATAGCTCTGATCATTCATCATCTATGCTTACGATGCAAAGCCTGTCAAATCTTGTTCAGTCTGGTTCAATACAAATAGTAAATGATATAAACAGTAAATATCAAGATTTCTGTAAATATGACAATATGCAGGTTAGTTATTATTGTTTTTAATTTAAAAAAATAATGATTTATACCTTATTCATCAATTTGTTATTTTATCATAGCAAGTTATAACTAGTACAACTAATGGAGTTGAATCCATGAAGTACAATTATACAATAGCCAATAATTCAAATCAGTCAGTTCAAACAGATTCATCTAATGAAGAAAATGATGCCAGTGAAAATGTTCAAACCATTTACTCTATGCCTGTAAGCATTATACATTATTTTGTCATAACTCAAAACTGTTATAGTAGAACAAAATAATTTATATAAATTAAGAAGATTGGGTTGCAAGGAGCATATGTTAATATTGGGGGAAGGAATCTGGTAAGAATCCCAGATGTTTGAGATTGGAAAGTAAAATTTAATTGATTTTGGAAGTGGCCAGTTGTTATTAGTTATTATTTATTATAAACAAATTACAAGTATTTGTCAATATAAGTGACAATGGGTACATTATGTGCAGCAGAGGTAATCATTTTGAAAGACATCATGGGTTGTTGTATCTAGTGTGTAATATAATATGTTAGCCGATGAACGAAGTCACGGTTACATTTAAGGTTCTTAAAGATTATACTTGCATGCACTATGCTTGAAGAAGAAAAGTTCTTATTGTTTAATAATTCATTATTTCAAACTTGAATAATTTTTTTGTTTTTGTGATACTGAAAAAATTAAAACGATTTTGCATAGTAAATGTACTCCTCTTAATAGTATGAACATTTAGTTGCTTAGCTTGGAGTGGTTCTATTTTGCGCACAACAGTTTTTGCTATTTTGTACATGTGGGTGTAGCTTCCTCTGAAGTGTTTTTGGTCATTGATATTGTTTAGTGGATAGCATGATATTATCATCAGCATCTAAAAAAGTAGTTCTCAACATTATATTCAATTTACTAAGGCTAACATAGCTTTAAATAGTTTTAATATCGTAACTTCTTTTTGCAGATACCTCTTTGATTTTAATAAGTTACTTTGTTGTTTTTCCAGGATATTCCTAGTTCAGATAAAGAAGATTCTGAAATTAACATAAATTCTTTAAGTTATGTGACTCCATTAACTGTTGAACCAGAGATGCTTCATTTTCAATTTAATAAATCTGAGTGAGTTATTATCAATAATTAATTAAATAATTAAAAGATATTTTATGTTATGTTTAATTATTTTTATTCGATGTATATTTTTGTTTTTGAAGTAATGATCAAGATTCCGATTTGGATAATAGTAAGTCTAATGATAAAACTTATATGAATGGGTTTTTACCCACGGATGGAGCTCTTGCATCATGCACTGCATGTGGGAAAGTATTAGAATCTGAGGAAGAAATTGTTATGCACAGTCAGATGTGCAAAGCTATGAACAATAGAAGTGTTTCTAATTTGCCAACAAGAAGTGCAAGAGATATGATGCCTCCAAGATTTCCTTGTGATGTCTGTGAGAAAAAGTTTAAAAGGAAAGAGCATTTAATTCAACACAGGAAACTCCATACTGGTAAATATTGTACATAATTATTAAATATTTTAACCAACTTTTATGATAATTATTAATTAACATGTTGACTGTCATGTGACTGCCGGCGGTCATCTATTATTCTTAAATTGTATACTTTTGTGACCACTGGCGCCCATAATCGATCTTAATACCATGCCACATGACTGCTGTTGACTCTAAACGAATATGGGTTTTAAAATATTAAATTTTCTATGACACCTACAATAATGTACTAAAAAAGCTCAGTGGTCTAGTAGGAATAGTTATAATTTGTTTGATCTAATAAACACTATTTTTTCAAATAAAATAGTATATACAATTTAGGAATTAGGAATAACAGGAAAACATGTTTGACGTGTTGATCATGCATATTGTGTGACTGCTGGCTGACTCATAGCAGTCTACGTATTAATAATTAAGTTTGTTATATAACCCTTAATAATAAGATATTGTAGTATAAATATTTTTCATTTTGTACATTTTTTTGATTCCTTGAAATACAAGATGTGAAAAGTAAATAAATAAATAAACTTATTATATTGTATATCTATATTCTTAAAAACCATGTAATCCGTCTCAATTAAATTGAATATTTTTTAGGGGAACGACCATACAGTTGCGAGACATGCTCTAAATCATTTAGTCGTAAAGAACATCTTATGCGTCACATGTTGAGTCATACAGGTCAACGATTGTATGGTTGTGATTTGTGTCATAAACATTTTAGTCGTAAAGATAATCTTCACAAACATCGAACCACACATGGAGTGACTGGACCTCTTGTCTGTGAAGTTTGTGGTTGGTTTTACATTTTAGAGTCTTAAGATAATTTGTTGTTGATGTAAACTTTAAAAGTTCATATATTTATTGCATTAGGTAAATCATTTATTGTAAAACACTATTACGATATGCATATGGCAACACATGATGTTGAGGATAATCAGTTACCATATGCATGTGACATATGCAAAAAACGGTTTGCTACAAGTCAATTTTTAGTTGCACATCAGTTCAAACATCAGACCAAAGGTTGTACTAATAGTCTTAAATCGGAGTCTGGATCCATTATTGGAAAATTGCAAAATGAAGTAATTATACCCGCCTATTAAAATTGATTTATAGCTATATATTTGCTTAATTAGTCTTGTATATTTGTAATTTTCCCATTACATTTCACTATGTAAATTATTATTTTATTACCATAACAACTGCCTCTGTTATTTTATTTAAAAAAAAAATATATGGTTTAGTTACAGGTTGATCTTCAAAGGAAGCAAAATCAACTATCTAATGTGCCAAATACAAATACATATCAAGTATCTTACGAAGAAAATAATTCGTAAATAATAACAAAAAGGTCTAAATCCCAAAATGTTCAGGTTTTCAGGGTGATAATTATGGGTTCCTACAAACACTAGTTTTAGATTTTAGTCATATTATTTTGTACTTGTATGTTACATTTTAATTATTGTCACACTACACCAAATTTTATGACTATTGAAAGAATGACTCAAGATTTTAAGTTATTTTTGTGTAGAATAATTATTTTTTTAATTTTTGGTGGTTTTGCCAATTATTATTTTTTTAGAAAATCAAAACATTAGTAAATTATGTTTACAATTAACTTTAGTGCCTTTACATTTAAATTATATTTTATGGTACAATATAATCAACTTAATCTGAGGACAGATCCTATATAAACATATCACAGTGTAAATGGTTGAATGTTCCATACATATCCACATTTTGGAGTTTTTTAATGTAATTGTAAAATCCTATTTTATTTTTTTTATGTTAATGATAGTAAAAACATGTACAAAATATACCAAAAAACTATAGGAGAACTGTTATTTTGAAATCCACAAACAGACTGATATAATGCTAAGACAAACCTAGTGAATTTAATTGCTCATTAGAATTTAATAAATGTTGTTTTAGATCTATGGTGGTCTTAATTTTTACAATTTTTGTCTAGAAAATTATATTTATAATGTATAACTCAACAATACAATTTTTTTTGTAATAAATACCTAGCAATTATTTTTTGCCATTTTTAAAAATCATATAAATAATTTTAAATTGCTGTTTAATGAATTTGTTGATGATCAGTTAACCATTCCAATGATTAGATTTAATAAAATTTACATTTTAGTTTATATATTTTTTCCCTGAATTACTTGTATAATTTAATTATTTTTGAACACTTAATTTAAAATATAATTGTCAATAATTTGTTTTATTTTTCTAACCATTCATTTTATATAACCTGCCACGTAATAGTGGATATATTATAAATAATTATATTAGAATAATATTGTCATTAAATAAAGTGTTTTATTATGATTAATGTGTGTAGTCAAAGTCTATTATTTAAATTGTATTCCATGACGCCCAGCGGCCGGCTATATTCAAGATTCAAGATACATACCCATGTACACCTTAATTCGTGGCTTTACCCTACACCGCTGTGAAGTTGGTCGCGCCTGCCTAATTCACGTGCCCCCTCTCGACCATCCCCCCCTCGTGGCTCGTACAGTAGCCCGTGGTTACCGCTCTTATATGCACACACCACCATTATTCAACAACACCACCAGGTATACATTATTATTGTTATTATCATTATGTATGGTTATATTGTACCACCTGTAGTCCGACAAAAGCCCCGAGCCGACGTAGACGCGCGTTCGCCGCCGTCCGCGGGTCTCTCGGGGACGTTTTGAATGTAGTATAAATCACGGCTTCGTGTTCACCTGTGCGGTCCATCACCTATATCCGGGGGAGTGATCGAGTTGAGGTCTTCGTAAATAAAATATTATCGCGTATGTATTATTAGGTATAACATTTCAAAGCCCCTCACCTCGCCAATAAATACGTATACCTTAGGTACCGTTCGAAATGTAGCTACCATTAGCGTGTCGTCACTCGTCGGTCGCAATTTATTCTGTCTATTCAAATATTCAATGATGGTGCTGGACTTTTTGGCAACTTGTTTGTTTTAGTCGTATAATAATTCACCACAAATATACAAAAGCGGGAAGTAAGGTAAATCATAGCTACCTATTGTATTAAGTACAATATCTACGTATAACATCTATGTATATATCTACATGGCTGTCCATAACACTATATAGGATTAAATTATTTTGACAGGATGTCAGAAGTCAGAACAGTGTTTTTGAACTTCGAAGCAACGACCTCTAGGTTATAGATTAGACACATCGATAAATTTGATGATTTTTTACAGATCTGTTATCATCTATAATTCAATATAGGTACCTACCTATATAATATGTGTATAGGATTTCAATTTTTTTTTGATGGTTGGAAGGGTATAGAATTCTCGGTTCTGGATTCCTTACATTACAGTTTAATCAATAATAATAACTTTGTACTCGTAGAGATACTTATATTTTAGGGGGGGGGGGTGAACCCCTAAATATTCCCTATATACATCACTGTATATATTTATATATTATTATGTACAGTGGCGCAATTAGAAAAATTTCTTAGATGGGCTCTAGGAACTACCCTAGTACAGGCAGTACTCCATTCCTCGAGGTAATCATTTAAATAATATAATCTCACGGGACTGCAGCCTGCAGGAGGCATTATCGCTACACAATGCATAATGCACGAAGTGTACATACTTAATTAACAACCTACCTAAAAATTATAATATTATGTAGTAACCTACTAACTTATGCTGTGGTGACCACTGACCAGTGTATATGTATCTGATGCAATTGCACCAGTACTAGAAATGCATTTGTTATGTTATCTCTGTAATATTATACACAGGATTATCCAAGTATGCTCACTCCCACTTTTTCTCTTAATAACGAAATGATTCCAATTCTGACTTGAAATTTTTAAAATTACCTACTTAAAGGTCATGTTTTCAAATTCTTGAAATGTTTTGTAGTAGGTAGGTACGTAAGGAGTGTCCCGTGGTGATACAAACTTCTGTTTGTCAAATGAGAACCCCCCTTTTTGCATGCAATTTATTTATTTTCTGAACATTTTGACGTAACAGAATCAAAATTCAAACAAGTAGTTTTTGATTTATTTAACTTTCTGCACTAAGAATGATAGGTTCATTATTATAGATTTTGAAGATATTTAGATATTGGGGCTAAAAGGTGAATTAAAAATGTTGGTGATAAATATTACCTAATTCATCAACATTAGTTATTTGTAAAAATGGCCCGAGTATAATAAATACTAAAATACATAATACTAGATCCAATACTAGTTATATCTGTTTTATATTTTTGTAAAACCACTTTTAAGGACTATAATCCTTAGAATAAACATTTTAATATCTGAGAAACTACTTGTCCGAATTTTAAACTGGGAACATCAACATTTTCAAAAAAAAATATCTACTAAATAATTTACAGTAGAAAAAAGAAGGGAAGGACGGTTTGAATTAGAAAAACAGAAGTTTGTATCGGCACAATGTAGTAGGACACTCCTTCATTTATATTAGTACAAAAAAATTAAGAATTTGAAAAAAAGGTTGAGTATATTTAAAAATTCAAAAATTCAGAATTTTAATAATTTCACTATTAAAGGAAAACACGGGGGATGAGCGTGCTGCTTGGTGAATCACTCTGTATATTATATGCTATTTTTTTTTACTATTTGCGTCAGGGTTTGACATTTTGTCACCACGCCATCGTATGATACTGCATGTTAAATAAATCGGAGAAAAGCTGAAACAGTTAAACATTTATAAATTTACATCACAAAGGTTGAACGAAAATTCCTTTGTGTATTGCAGTGTCGTATTTTATTGCTTTCCATTAAACACTTATGTACACCAAATAATGATATTCGTTCAAACTTTGTGCCGGGATAAAGGTACCATACATTCTCAGCTTTTGTTCAATTTCTTTACTATAGGTAATCCAGTAATTTTAATTGTATTAATAGAAAAATACGTATACACCTATATACTATTAAAATAACTCTTATTTTCAAATAAGTACTAATATGATTATATGAAAATTGTTTGGTAAATATGTCGCGCGAGTAGTACATTAAATTATTATTTATTTTTCTCGGGACACAAAACTCGACACTCGTATCAAAATATGGTGTTATACACTCGACCTGTTCATTTACTGTACGACATACCTACACATCCGACACATGTACTATACTTCGCAATGTATAGCGTGCGTGTGTGTGTGTGTGTGTGTGTGTGTGTGTAAACAGGTAATGCAAGTATGCGAAAGCGATGGCACACGAATTTTTATAAGTACGAGGTTAGCCGCGGGGGTGGGACTACATTTTAATAGTGCCGACACTCGTGTAGACGTCGACCGTACGTGTTGGTGGTGATTGTGTTTGACAGGTGTATAACAACGAGCTGACTTACACACATACCCACCGATAATATAATGATAATACGATATTTTATTGATTATTTCCGCAAATCGAATAACGCGCGCAGCACCCACTTATCGTTATTATAATTTATAATATTATTATTACATGGACGGCGGTCGGACCGAATAGTGTGAACACTCACACTTAGGACGGCGGGTGGGTGCGGTGTGCAGACGCGCGTCCCAAGTTCGCATGCTTTTATTTATGAGTCGCATATAAGTATAGTATTATTATCATTCTTTGGACTGATTTTATTATTTCTACACCACGAAAAAAAACCTTGAATCAAATGCCGCCGTATATCGAGCCGTTTTGTGTCTTACATAAATATATAATACATTTTGGTTCCTTACCGATTGCGCCTTGACCGCGCGTGTTACATTTTAAAATTTCGAAAAACGCCATCCATAGACCGTTTAACAAGGTCTACAATTCTGAGGGGGGGGAGGGGGTGGCTACAGATTTCACCAAGACTGCTGACTTAAGATAACTCATGGGTCACCCCCCCCCCCCCATATCGGCCATCTATCTCACCTCCCCCTAATACCATTATACATTTTAGATTCTGGTTTTACATACCTAACGATATGCTTTTTTTATGAACGTGACACAATCGTGAGACAAGTAAGCCGATTGTGAAAATAGCCTACACTCAATTCTACACATCAGTTGATTTATTTCGACTTGTTAGTCAATTCACAATTCAAATTTTCACTTTAAAAACTGTTTCTATTTTAAATTGTATTGCCCTATAAACTTTTGTTCCATAAACATTTTATTGAATCAAAATTATATTTACGAGTTTATTATACTGTTTTACTATTGTAGTAGTAGCAATACGACATGTATGAATTAATAATTGTACGTTTTATTTCAAGGCATCATTTGTGTATATTTTTCACGTTTCCAATGAAAAATCATTATTATATTACGTTGGTAATCTAATGTTTTTATCGGTAGAATACATATAATATGATATGTATGTGTAATGTGTATACACGATCATCAATATAATTTGTGGTCGGTATAGGTAATTGAAAATTAAAACTAGAATTTAGAGTATAAAACTTGATTATTTCGTTATGATAACGCAATGTGAAAAACAATTTCATTGTGGAATTGTGTCACGAAATGTACTTTATGGACATATGTTTCCACATGCATAGCTTATAACGAAATAACGAATTGTATATTATGATTTATGATATTATGTTATCGGACATATTTTTCATATTTGAAAAAAATAGCATGTGAATCGGACACGAATAATACAGCGGAGAAACGTCAATTATAATTTTAAATAAAATATAAACTCTAATGATAGGTAACCAAACAGCGAGATAACGTTGGCGCTCATGTTTTTCAAAAAAAGTCGAATACGTTCCGTATCGACGTTTAATATTTCAAAGGATTCGAATTCGCCAGACCGCGTAAACCTAATCAAAGTCATAAGAAACTCAGGGTCAGAGAGGCCAATGTTCTGGCCCATAAGACTTGGGCTGCGTGACCCGTCATACGATACTATGTCTATACATTATAAGTACATAAAAAAATAGTGTGATTAATTTGTTTATCACATTCTATTCATATAGGTTTATATTAAAGTATATCTATACATACTATACGTAGAAACTTTTAAATAGTTGTTGTTCGGTTTTTTCATGTACATAGGTATACTAGTATACTATCTATATATTATACACATAGTATGTTATTACAGTCCATTTGATAAAGTCGTAAAATATTTAAATTGGTTAGAAAATAACAAATCAATAAACTTAAGGGGATTAAATAAGCACATGTGTTTTTCACAGGTTAAAGACTAAAGTCAGCGGTGGATTACACATACTTCGGAATGTCGGATATTAATTTTTAATTTAATATAATAATATAATATGTATGAATTCTTTGATAAAATATCTAGGCTTTTAAGAAAGTCGATTTTCAATTTTCAATTTTTAATTTTAAACGACCTTAAATTAAAACAAGTTCAAAACACATTCATTCAAAAATCCCATGAAATAATTGCGTTACATTTGTATTAATTATTTTGAGCACATCTGGTTTTTATATGAGAAAAGTGATTCCTAAAGAACATAGTACAGAAGCCATAGTCTTTGAAATTACAATCGAACTTCAGGAAGTATGTTTAATTTACTACCGCTATGAGTCATATGACATATCATATGAATTGCCAAAAATATTCCTCCTTTAAGTATGATTCTCTTCACTCTCCAGCCCTCTTGAGGTTCTGTCACTATACTTGTTACACAAATTTACAATTTTGGTTGTCGAAATATAATAATATAGTATTATAGTCTCTCTCTATATATATATTATATGCTCTATTCCCAAGGATGGCGAATCCGTGGCACGCGTGCCCGAGTCCCGAGACGGCATTTGAAAAATTAAAATATTTATATCATATGCAAATATTATTTTTATTTTTAATAATACATTACATCATAATACATATGTATTAATATATACAGATATAATTTAATAATCGTTATTGAACGATAAATAGCCATATGCTCATAATATGTACCTCAGTTTTTATGTACCTCTTTTCATAATTTAAGGGTACGCTCAAAAAAAAGGTAATTTTTGTCACGTAGCGTCAAAGTAATTTGCCACCCCTGCCCTATAGACTATGGCATTGACTTTATAAATTGTATTATAATCTATTATAAAATAAATGCCCATAGGAAGGTAGGTATAGTGAGGTACTATAAACGTTTAATATATAATATTTGTTATATAAAAAATTATACTATAATTATTGTTGTCATTTTTATATTGATATTATATGACATACTTTTAAATATAAAATTTACGGCTTCTGTAATTATGGCCGTCGAAATATAGGATACGGGACGGTATAGGTATAGTTATAGGTAGTATACACGAATTTAAACAAAATTATCTAAACTATTATTTTTGTAATAAATTGTTATCCTAATATTATATTTCATTGCTTTAAATATAATATATACATATAAACAATAATTTTATTTTTACAAACATCTATAAATTATAAGTGAATTTCAAAAAATTTAGGTTTTCAATTTAATCAATTTCACCTCCTCCCCCCCACCACAAACACACCTAATTTTCGAGTGCTTATAACATGTTTAAGTTTTCATTTCGAATCATACACATTCTTAACACACGATACTTGTCAAGTACACAAGTACTATTGAGTTGAAATAATAGGGGATTTTGAAGTCTTGCACATTACTCAAACACCCTACTATTTTGAAATGTGTATACAATATAAATTATTTTGATTTTCTCTACAAACGAAAGAGTTTATCTGATAAAACTTCAAAGTTATAGCATAGTAAACGTAATGTAAAATTACATTTTTTGATTTGAGATTTCTACCAGCTGGGGAAATGTATTCGTTGAAATAATTATTAAATTGCCTAACTATTATTACCACTTACAATTTTGTGAATTTTTGTTGCATATACTTTACTATACCGCGGTGATGCAGTCAATGCTCAGCGATGACTTCGGAAAACGTAAAAGTCATTGCGAGGTGTCGGCCAATGAACACGAGGGAACGGGCGTTAAACAGTAAGGTGAGACCGTGGTCTAGTTATATTCATACCTGACCTACATAATTCTATAATACATATACATGATATGTATAAAATATATATTTTAGGCTATTAAAGCTGTAATGAGATTTTGTCGGCGACCATTCTCGACCGCATTATTATAAAAACGATTCCCGTACACCACTGTGACCTATAAACCTAGTAATAGCTAGCACGCCGCCCTAAGTATACGAATAGCAAACACGCCGGGCACGCAATTCGCGCATCTAACACCCACCCAATTCTTTCTTAACCCCATAGTCGTTGTGCATTATATTGTAATGTACAATGATTATACGTGCGCCGAAATTTCGTTTTTCAATGCTGAAAACTAAAGTGATGAACGATGGAGGGTGGTGTGAGTGGGTGACCCACTGTTTATTATTACGTTATATTTCCCCGTGTACACGCAGAAATAGACCGTTGCCCGGCTAACTGCGTGGTTCGTGAGAAATCGTAATATTATGTACATGGTATGTCCTAGGTATCGGTAGATACATCGTTTTTAAACACCATAAGGTATATTATAGTGTGCAAAACCTTTCAATTTCTAGAAACTACGTCTCATAAATAATATTATAACTGTTTGCTTACCGTTACTATAATGTAATAATAACTATAGGTAGGTAATATAATTATCGGTTTTTGTATTGAATAAAAAAAAAAAATTCGATCACCATCGTAATGTTTTCTGTATTGTAACCTTAACGTTGCGTATCTACTATCTAGTATATATTTTTATGAGTAGAGTACGAAAATGGTTTGCAGTGCACACGTCATTACCTTGGTAATGTACACCTTATCCACATGGACGGTGTTATGTATGCACTATCTACCTTAGATATGTACAGTGTGTACATTATCCAGTATAAAGTAGAAAATTCAAATCATATAATGTTAATTCGAAAAAATCCCTAATAATCCTCGACGTAGTCTGAAAAGAAGATGGTGCAGAGATCTATTGCAATAAAAATTCACTTAACCTCGTCTCTCTCCTAATTTTTTGTACCTCAACATTTCACAATCACCCCTCATGCTAAGAGTCACTAGTGGGTGACATCTTAATCACATCTACCATATTATTCTTAAGTCTCTTATCACATATACCTATTGTTCTACTTTAGTATAGACCAGCGTTTCCCAAAGTGTGTTCCGCGGAACCTTAGGGTTCCGTGGGACAATGTCAAGGGTTCCGTTAGATGTATGAGATTATTGAGAAAATTATGTTTATTTAATGTTTGTTGTTTAAAAAATGTTTGATTGAAAATTTTTTTTTAAACTAAGTTTAATAATGAAAAGTCATTAACAGTATCATTAAAATATTATTTGGACTTGAGAGTTTAAGGAATTGATTTTCCTTTTTTAATTTATAAAAATTGTAGTTGTGTTGGATTATACATTAGGGTTCCGCGAAACACAAACAATTTTTTAAGGGTGCCGTGGTTGTAAAAGTTTGGGAACCGCTGGTATAGACTGTATATTTCTTATAAAAAAAGTTATTATTTTATAAAATAAATAGGTACTTACGGTTATTTTATTTGAACAGTTCAAATTCAGATGTTATTTGGAATATCTCCCCAGATTTACATTTATATTTATTTGATAAACATTTACTCATACACAGACCTTTATTATAACCTTGACCACCAGAAAGACATTGTGTATTAGCTATTTCACACCAAGATGTTTTTGTAGACGACACTTCTAAGATATCTATTAACGGTCCAGAACATACAGAAAATTGATTTCTTGAATACAACTGATACGGGGTTTTTCATCATGTCGAATATTTAAATGTACGAGTATATCATAAAATGTTATGTAAAAAAAAAAAAAAATATCATATCATATTGTAGTACTTTATAACATATATTTTCATTTATAATGTAATATAAATGTTTTTACTATCTTCTGACATTGGAAATATGAATTTGTCTTCTCCACCAATCAGCGATGGTTAGACGGGAAGGAGGGATGAGTCCACAAGAGTACAGATGCCCCCATGACAAAATTATTTGACCGTCATCGTCACTGCCACCAATACTAATAAGTAACAATGTCGTATTTCTTTGAACATTTGTATGATTTATTTGTTTTTTCCCTGTTAATTTTACGTTTATAATTTCTAAAAATATGTCAAAATATTTTGATTTTGTTAAATACACCGAATTCTTATTCTTTTCATTAATTCATTTATTGAAACTCTCAAAAAATTTCTCGTTTCGAGAACACATATTTAAAAAAACTAAATAATACAATTTTAAGTTGCCAAATGAGTGAACAAACAAATCGATAACACCGTACTGAAGTTTAAAATTGTCCAATATCGTGCACACGTTATATCATAATGTACACTTAAACATTATATTTTATCAAAGCAATCTATCCACACAAAGGTAAATAATGTATAAACTACCCGGTTAATGTAGAAAATAAACGTTTTACAAATAATATTTTTACTCCAATAAGCATGGGTAGGTATAATGTTCACATTACCTGATTTTCGCACTGTACCCTTAAGGCCGTAACATATACATAGAGACGTAAAGCAATAAATATTTTTTTGTTTCCTGAATAGTTTTCTATACAGTAACATCAGCGCAGTCCTAAATTTTCATTTATTTTCTAATTTTTATGAATATCTCGGACATCTGGATAGGACAAAATCTGTCATTATAAAATAATAATATACATTTTAATATACATTTTTATCCATTATCCGAATATTGTGCAATTGTGTAACTAAACCTATATCTAGTAAGGTTTTCTAATCAACGTCCGTCTTTCAGAACGTCGTGTTTATAGACTCAGAGAAATGCACTTGTTCGATCGTCAATCCCACAGACGGTTCGGCTCCGCCGAAAACGTTTACGTTCGATGGTGTTTACGGGCCCGATTCGAACACGGAGCAGATATACAACGACATTGCTTATCCCTTTGTGGAAGTAAGTAATAGATGATAATCTATGAACTGAATATTATTAATCAATATGGGTATACCTGTAATTTGGTTCTAAACCATAATATACAAGTCTTAAGACTTGTATAAAAACATTAAAAACTAACTATTATTTATAGGTAAATATAATAAAAATATATTTTAAAAGTGGGGGGGGGGGAGGGAGTCAAGGTTTTGATTTTGGTTTTTAAATTATTTTGTTCCCCTTAAGTTTTTTACACAACCCGTCCAAACAATCGTAACTCAATAAAAGAAAAATATAGTGAACATATCGTTTGGATATAACTATATATGTAATATGTATCAATGAACTAATATTTTATTACGCTTGTGTGTCACCCTATGATCTATAGGGCATCTTGGAGGGTTACAACTGTACGGTGTTCGCGTACGGTCAGACTGGATGTGGCAAGAGTTTCTCGATGCAGGGTGTAGACTCACCGCCGAACCAACGCGGAATCATACCCAGAGCCTTCGAACATGTTTTCGAGGCAATATCCGTCACGGATGACGTAAAGTTTTTGGTGCTTGCCTCGTACATTGAGATCTACAACGAGGAAGTGAGAGACCTATTGAGCACAGACACCAAACGGAGACTTGAGTTGAAGGAGAACCCGGAGAGGGGTGTCTACGTACATGGTACACACACGTTATTATATATAAAAATTTAAATGATTCTATTCACTTCTACTTACATATCTTGTGTACCTATGTATATTATTGTAGAGTTATCGCATCACGCCGTGCAAGATGTGACTGAGTGTCAAAAGCTCATGGAACAGGGTTGGAGGAATAGAGCAACAGGAGCCACAATGATGAACGCCGACTCTTCCAGGAGCCATTCGATTTTCACCATATCCGTGGAAATGATGTCAATGTCGCAGGACGAGGATGACATTAAGTCGATAAAACGAGGTAAGCTGAGTCTGGTTGATTTGGCTGGTAGCGAACGTCAGACGAAAACCGGAGCTTCGGGCGACCGGCTCAGGGAAGCCACCAAAATCAATCTCTCTTTGTCGGCCTTGGGCAATGTGATATCAGCCCTGGTGGATGGAAAAGCAAAACACATACCGTACAGGGATTCAAAACTCACTCGGCTACTACAGGTAAAATATAATTAACAAAAAAATATAAATTTCCGTCAGCACTTCCTCTCTCGTTGTTTTCTTTAAAAAAAATGTTCTTTGTTGAACATTATAGGATTCTCTTGGTGGAAATACGAAGACGTTGATGGTCGCTTGCCTGTCACCCGCCGACAATAACTACGACGAGACCTTGTCAACTCTAAGGTACGCCAATCGAGCGAAGAACATATACAACGAACCACACGTGAACGAAGATCCCAAAGACACGATGCTGCGCCAGTACCAAGAACAGATAAAAAAACTCAAAGAACTGCTGGAAGCTTCCACTGCTCAGTTGCCCACGAACGATATTCCCGAAAAAGAAAAATTGAGGCAGGAGTATCAAGATGAAATGTGCAAACTAAGGGAAAAATACCAAGAAGAATATAATTCCAAAGTTCAGATGCAAGCAGATTTGAAAACTTTGAAAGAGAAGTACGACAAAAACTTGGCAAAGATCTCGAATCAAGTACGAATCGTATGAGCTGTATAAAATTATTTTTTTTAAATTCATTAGTTGTTTAGTTTTATTAATAAGTGTTCGACAACCGACATGCGTTTTTATATTAGTGACTAATGTCTCAATATGGATCACAAATTTGAACATACGCGTACGTGTAGACTATTATTTAAACATAATGTAGACTGTAGTAACATTTGAAATTTTTTTATTATTAATTAAGAAATAATTTGAAGGTAAAATTTATAAAATTATTTGATAGATTTAATTTGACAAGCAGATGACAAATATCACTTCAAGTGATATTTATATTTTTTTCCTTAATGCATTTTAACAATAAATTATGATTACACGGCGTTCTAGGTATGCAATTAAACTACATAACTCGTGAGTCCCTTTTCCGGTATTTTGTATAAAACGCATACGTACGTGGTACGTATAATTGTTCATTTGCTAAAGTTCGCTGCTCGATCCATGGTATCTACCTGACAATGTGTACATGAAATATTAGTATAAAATTGGTTTTTGCGTATTTTCAGAACGACAACAATTACAGGACGTCATCCCCACAACAGATCGTCGAAAAAGCGTTGAAGAGCAATCGAGTGGAACTGAATTCGTCGCAACAGGAAATACTGAAAAGGTACCCATTATAATATTATGCACTACTGCAAAGTGTTTTATTAAATTTATGACTTACCGTGTTTGCAATGTATAGGTTGAAGAAACTGCAAGAGAGTATGGTTGGCGGGGAGAGGGTCAACGACAGAGAGCTCCAGGAACGCCGATCGCGCAAAAAAAAAGCAGCTGAGAGACGGCTGAATGCGTTGGCGAGGGCGCTGGCCACTGTCGAGACCGAAGAAGGACCGAACTTGGTGTTGGGCGTGTACGACGACATACAGGAAGAGCTGAGGGCTAAGAACGAGGCGTTGAAGAAGTATAGACAAAAAGTATATTGTATAATATATTATTATGGAACGCATATAATATGACAGTATGATATAGTTTATGGTTTGGGACGCGGGCCAGGTGGACGGGATGACTAAATTATATATTGAGCATTTATCGATTCCACCGAAACATATTGTTTATTGTTTTGAAAGAAAGTATTAAGCGACTCTGCCAAATGTGTGATGATTATTGCATATTTTATTGATATATTATATTTTAATTTTTTTTTAATTTCTTATTTTTTCATTGTGGCTTTTTCTTAAAAGCTGGATATCTGTTATAATTGATGTAATATATGATTTTAGAAAAAATGTAGCTAACAATAATGATTCAAACACGCCTTATAAGTACTAATAGTTATACTATTAGAACCTAAACATCATAAGCTATGTTTATCAATATAAAAAGAAATTTAAATTAACTAAGTATTAAAAATGCTCATTTATTCTTTTAAATCGCAATAAAATTCAAACAAGATAAAATGTATTACTTGATGTTTCTCGTGTAGTGGTGTGTGAACCAAATGACTAAATTTTTTGTTTTCAGCTGAAAGCGTCAGACCGAGAGGTGGCGGACATCCAGAGTGAGTTCGAAAACGAGCGGACGGATTACCTGGAAACAATCAGGAAACAGGAGCGACAGATCAAACTTCAGAGTCAAATCTTAGAAAAAATCGTGCCAACTTTGTCGAAAGAATGCAATTACAGGTGGGTATTTGCGTGATTGTCGTGACCAATGGTCTGAGAACAAACATATTACACCGCATATGGGTATACTAAACGCCAAACGGTGATATTTTCTTTCAGCAACTTGGAGAGGTTGAAAGAAGACGCGGAATGGGAGGATGACACGCAGAGTTGGAAACTGCCGGACCTGACGAGGATAAAACTACCTCCGGCTTCGGGTAAACGAGGGGGAGGGATTTTTTAGATTCTTTAATTTTTTAATTTTTTAACCAACGATTATTTCGGTATTCGGATGGGGTAGGTGCGTCGTCTTCGGGATGCAGACAGTCTGTTAACTCGGTGACCGCTCCGGCTAGATTAGAAAACTCTGAAAATCTGTTGGCGATTTATACGTTCCATCCGCTGCAGGTTAAATAATTGTGTGTCATAAGTACGATCGTGTGGTTTTCGCCCACCTAAATACACAGCTGAAGCGTGTGCGATTTGTGCGCAATTTTAAACATTGTTCTTCTTTCTATATTAACCGAACCGCCGACTTCTGAGTAATTATTTTCGCTTTTTATTGCAGACAGAACACGTGGTACGTTATTTAATAATATTTAAAGCGCTTCTCGGCAACGAGACTTATATATGACACTGCTGCAGTTATACCTACTTCGTTTACCGACTTACGTTTTTGGCTGCGCTTGTAGGATGAAGTGTACAATTATTGATACCTCGAGAATTCATTTTTACCAATTGGCACCTAACCTGCTCCATGACGACATCGAATTGCGAATAACCTATAGATCATATACTTCTGTCTAGATAAGAACTGTGTAATATAACAACAGCATTACGAGCAGCTTAACAACATCTGGCAATGATATGTTGACGACAAAATACAATTATCTATATATATTATCTTTATATACAACCTTGCACTCCCATACATATTGAGTAAACGAGTAGACAAAAAGGGTCCCCCGCATACACACATTGCTTGTCTAGTAGTACAAGGTCAAAAGAATAATTGAAAAAATAAATAATATGATAGCACGATGGTTGTTAATAAAACAGTATCAGTGTAGTAACCATATAATTAAAATAAATTTATATCCCTAAAATTCATGATCAAACATTATGTATACGAAAAACAAACTTTTGACTTGATGTCAATAATAGTACACTTTACCCTAAAATATATTTTATACGCTTTTCAATATATTATATTATATTTTACTGTGGCTTCGTAGCTTTCTTGCATAATATTCTATACATTATAATAAATAATATGATAGGCACGCTAACACAACCCGCCAACGGTTCGGCAGCGTTTAGCACGTTCGAAAACGGCCGGAGGAAGATGTCGCTGGGCATATTCAACACGTTGGCCGGTCTGTCGTTCGACAAGTCTTCCAGTTCGGACAGCAGTCGGCGGTCGTCGTCGTCGCCGGATGTGCCCGTCTACGATCAGGTGAAACGGCTGCGCACGCATCACGGTAGTTAAGCCATAATCATCCGAATTTTCGATAAATGTCATGCACACTCACGTAGTTCTGTTTGGACAAGTTTTTAATCATGATAATATATAGTCTAATCGTGTGTGCATTGGTGGTTTATTTTACGCTTGGCCTGAGCGGGTCACTGGCGCTAAAATAGTTAAAAAAAACGTTTATATAATATTACAAGGGAAATATATCACATAATCGTATTATGTCTACTGTTTCAGAAATATCAGAAATCGGCGGAAGACGATTTTGCCGGCAATTACTTTAAACCGAAACGAGCCACCGAGTTGCTGATACAATCCCACGGAGAGTCTGGTAGACCGTTCCATAAATGGAAAGGTATATACTTAGCTAGGTACCAATATATATTATTGGGAAAAGTGTCCTATTATGATTAAGAAGAGAACGCTAGTTACGACGGACACGAAGCCTGAAGAATTTCGGGTTTTTTGGGGGAGTGAGGGATCTAAACAAATCTTTTTATTTGCTCTATCTGCAAGTATATAATTATATAACTGTATAATATTATTGTGATTTCTTATTAGTTACTTAATAATTGAAGCTGGACAAGTTATAGTCTTCTATTTCAACTTGTCAAAGTGAGGTTACTAAAAACTAATGAAGTCAAATAATTAATTGGTCTCTGAAATTGATTTTTAATATTTAAATAAAGTTATCAAGACATACTATAGTAAAAGTGTGTATGGGTGTGCTATCTCGTCGATTCCATTTGATAGAATTTTATTTTTAAGACGAGTAGGTAGAAAGTATTTTTAAATTGTTGGAATAACTCGTCCGTGTATTTGTACTAAAATAAATGATGCTTATATATTGTGAAAGATACGTGCATAAGACAGATATAAAAAATATGTCATCTCAATTACCTAACATAGTAATAATATGTCATTTTATCGATTAAATATTGTTCACCGTGCATAATATATTAAAGACATAAAAAAAATGTTTTATTATTACAGGAAACAGACTTATATCATCAGAAAATATGGTAAAGAAGCCGACGAAATTAGAATCGCTTCTTCCGGTTATCGGCGACCGAAAACTACAAAAAAATACATTGGACAGAATTTAAAAAAATGTTCCTAAAAAAAATTGGAGAATATCGCTGTGGTGTACAAAAAATAAATAAATCATGTTAAATTGAATTTAGTCTTATGTTTTCCATCTCGTAAACGGTCGACCAAATGTCATCGGCCAACAGTCTGGGTTGTTCGAACGCTGCGAAATGTCCGCCGTCTTTCATCTCTGTAACCCTGACCAGTTTTTCGTATTTACGATTCATAAGTTTCTTCAATGCCAACGCAATCGGCATCTCGTTGGGGAATACTGCGCAGGCGGCTGGAACTTTAATTTTGGCCCTGTGTAGTATAATACAAAACGAACATTTTGGAAATTTTATCGATTTTTAACACATACAACACATATGCTACAGTGAAGTGGTTATACGCACATTATGTGAGGAAGAGCTTGATATTTGTTACTCGCGTACTCTGAGTACAGTCGCATCGACGTGGTCATTGAACCAGTTACCCAGTATATCATGACATTGTCCAACAGTTCGTCCGTATTGAACTTGGACAAGCCACCGTCCGGTTCATATTTGTAACCCGTGGATGTCCAGGTGGAAAATTTTTCCAAGATGTAAGCTGCCAAGCCGACCGGCGAATCGTTTAGGGCAACTCCTGCACGGATAAGCGGGGATTTAGTAAAATTTTAGGGAGAAGCTTAAATCATTTTAATAGATTTAACATGATATTTGAATTGTCGAACAAAGTTGCATATAACCATACCACCAGTCGTAATTCGTTAGATGTCATACTATAATTTGCTAGATGTTTGATAAACCCAACTTATATAATATATTCTAAATCAAAATAAATGTACAGATGCTAATCTAATCTTTAAAATTAATCAATGACTGCATTGCACTGAAAATAAAAGTAATATTTTTCTAACGATTTACGAAAATCAATATGATAATCGATATTACGATGAAATGTATTGATAATATGTATTGTATTGTTTTTGATATAGTTACTAATAACTAATTACTATGCGTGACTTATGGGAGAAGATTAAAGTTCACCAAAATAGCATATTATAGGTAGTTGATTAAAAAAATAATTAAAATAGAATCTAATTCATATTCATAATTGAAAATAATTAATCGTTCCGATATGATTTGCTATGAAATAATAACGCTCGTCAAATTTTGAACTTTTTAGAGCTTTATTGTTTGTTCCTACATCCTTTCCCATCACCAATTAAGCTTTTCATATCCAATATAAGATTACCTAGCCTCACTTAACTACCATATTGATGGAACATTGACAAAAACGATTAATTATAATCATGTAGCAGTATGCATAGTAGTACTTTTTTTATTTTTGATAAAAAAGGTGTCTATAACAACAAAGGCAAAATAAAAAATGTACCTGCTGTATCGGGTTTGGTCATTTGCAAATGCATGTATCCGGATTCTTCGAGGAACCCGAAAAACATCTTGCTCAGGGGATAGGTCCGGGATTTTTCGTTCTCGTTGCTGACGATTATCGAAGGCCAGTACGTTCCCAAAACCAACCGAACATAATCGTTCAGTGTCAAAGACGAAACTGAAGAACACATGTTTGAATGCATGCCGTATACCCTAAAGTAAAATTAATAATAAATACATAATATATTAAAATGTAGATATATGATTAAATAGAAAATAAAAATATATAATTGTTTAGTGTTTGGGAATATAATTGTATTAAAAAAGTTCAAAATATAAAACAATATAAATCTACTCTAAAATGTTCTGCATTTATACAATTAAAATTATAATTATAGGGTGGGGGATGAAAGGAAACGGAAATATTTAAAAGTGATACGAGTGGTATCCAGAAAAGCTTTCTATGTAATAATAATGTGCCAATATGATAGCAATATGGAAATATTTAGAAAGTTTCACTTTAAATTTTTGAAAAATTATAAAAAGCCGTATTAAAAGTGGTTAAAAACAATGAACAACAAAATCACCTGAATTTTAAAACTAATATAGCTGGTAGTAGTGTTCACCATACATTTGATTAAAATATATAAATATTGTACAGAATTTTGGGCCATGTAATTGTGCGTAAACGAGAAAGCGCTTGGTGATCGAGTAAATAGTATATACCTGTAGCTTATAATATTACATACACTGCTAGAATATAATGGAACATGGTTATGCCTGAATTGTGTTTGCACACCATATATGCCTATGCCTGCAACACAGATATCAGGAAACCTCTCACCTGTGGGGAAACAACTTCGAAATCGCTTCGGTTATGACTGATCCCCAATCGCCGCCCTGGACGTAGAACTTTTCGTGGCCGAGTCTCTCCATGAGCTTGACGAACATTTGGCCCATATGCGCCGGACCCATGCCGGGCCGGGCGGCCGCGTCCGAAAACCCGTAACCCGGTAACGAGGGCGCCACCACTTCGAACACGAAATTGATACCTTCCACCGGGGTGGTCAGCATCGGGATGATTTTGTAAAACTCGACGACGGACCCGGGCCAACCGTGCAGCAAGAGCAGCGGAATCGTCCGGGCCTTGGTCCGTGCCGGCGGTTTAGCGTGAATGAAATGCAAGTCCAGACCGAAAATGTTGGTCTTGAACTGTGGCAACGAGTTCAGGTACGCTTGTCTGGCGGTCCAATCGTAACGATTCGACCAGTGGTCAACGATCTTCGCCAAGTGGTCGCCGTTGAAGCCGTACTCGAAATTCACGCTCCGCAACGGCTTTACGATCGGCCTGGCGTTGGACAGCCTGTTCTTCAGGTCTGCGATGACCTGCAAGAGTAAACAAACGTAAGTTAGAAAATTATTTTATAATAAATGGCTCTGAGATTTTGATTGGTTGAGCCTCGGTTATGTCGTGCGGCGTATATTGAGAAACGATTTTAAATATATAATGTGATGTAACCGGGACCAAGTTTAGGATAAGAAAAACGACCAACACAGGGGGCATAAAGAAGATATCCCAAAATGTGACTAAATGGAAATCATATTTAATATAAAAAAAATCAAATATTTTTGTTTGTTTTGAATTTTACTATTTTCAAATTATCATTATTAATTAAAATAAATTCAAGACGATATGTATTTCAACTTTTATGCAGTAAAAAAATGTTTATAGACACAGCAGAGTTTCAAATAATCAATTAATACGATAACGGTTCGTTTGATATTTGATAAAAGTCATAGGTCAAAGGTCCATGGTCGAAAATTAATTTTTTTAGTGTGCTCCAGTATTAATCATAAGTCAATGAAAACAATTAAACTCTGAGTACGACGTACGTATGGACTTGTCGGGTAAATTACTTTTGAAAAGTAATAAAATTACGTTACTCCTTTCATTAAACATTTTTATTTAAACAACTTTCGTGTTACCCGAAATTATTTTTGTCACGTTATGTTACTTTTTCATTCGAGAAGTAGGGCGTTACAAACATCATTACTTTTTTAAAAAATTAATTACAAAATCATCACATATATAACCTACTAATCGACTAACAAATAGTAGATATACTACTATTACTATTGTAAAAATTGTACATCAGTACAAAAATAACAGTGATGATTTAGATACATTGTTAATGACTTAACGTTGTAAATGAACAAAATGTATAATTGATGCCTCCAATCTTAAATATAATTTTTGACAATTATCTAAGTCTTACAGAATTGTAAATAAATTTAATTGATTTTTAATTGTTCTCGAATATCCTAGCGCCTAGGTTTTGTCATACATTCTACATTCTTGGATTATTTTAATAATGTGGAGAATAACACGTTTCTCCATAGAAATTACTTTTAAAAAGTAATTTCGGTAATTTAAATACGATATAATAAAATTGTTACAGCGTTACTACAAAAGTAATTTCGTTTCAGTAATTTGTAATTTATGTTATACGTTAGTATGCAATACAGCGTATGGCTGATAACTGAAAACCTGCATACCTATAATAAATATTATAACTTTAAATCATGTGCCATTGTACGGCATTCGTTTCGACAGAGGTCAGAGTCGGGTTACTTTTGTGAACCATAATATCGTCTTGAAATTAAAACAAATAAAAGTTTCGTATGAAAAAAATGCTCATAAAATATCACATAGATTTGCATACTCCTATACTAATAATTATAATTATGCTCGTCACACAATAATGTGATTATGTGAAGCGTAAAATTGTTTACAAAAATAAAGTATGAACAGCAACAAGACTGCTATATTATATCTGTGTTTGCATGGGCGTGAGCCCTCCCTCCCACGACATCCAATTATATAGATTGATGAATACTTATGTGAATAATGCATTTCAAATTTAAAAAATCTAATCTGTATTTTTTGAGTGCTAATTTATTAACTTTGAACCCAAGTTAGAGTCAACATTCCACCGTCGCACCAATGCTATTTATAAATATAATATATACACTATATCTACGAGTAGATTGTAGACTGATGTTGTTTTAGATAATTTATAGTAATATCGTCTATGTAATATTAATGATTAATATAAATACGACCAGTGGCCTGTGCAGGAATTTGGTATAAAGGAGATGTCATCAAATGATTTAGGTATAAAATACAATATAATATTTATTATTTATGCTCAATTTAACCTTGACTACAGGTTGTATTTCTTATACATTCGTTTTCAAACGTTTAAGTATAGAAAAACGTCCTAAGTCCACCCATGAATAAGGAATAATAAAAAGAAAATCCTACGAGGTAAATATTACAACCATTACCTTCCCACCCCTCCTCACGGCACTGTATACGATATTATACTGTAACCAAGGAGTTTTAAATATTATACTGATTTTAATATTATGATGTGTTTTTTTTAAAAACATTTTTTGTGTTTGTCGTCACCTTTATGGGCAGTAAAAATACTTCGATTTTTAACTTTGAAGGTGGCTTCTGGCAGCAAATTGGATATATAATTGGCACATTGGGGAGGTTAGTGATTTCTAGTACTTACTATTTTTCTTCAATCGCTTTTTAGTATTTTGTTAAAATTCAAAAAAAAATAACTGTGTTTACTTAAAATTTTTCAAC